GACAAAACAGCTTGGCAAAGGGTCAGGGCGGCCGTCCCTGGCTCCTCAGGATGATGCTTGGTTTCAGAACTGAACGTGAATCTGTGATGGTTACATCTTAGGTGTGTTCTTGCTGTGTCTTTCTAATTCCATTCTTTCGTTCTTTTTTAAACACAGAAACAGTTTTGTTTCTGTGTTTAAACAGTTTTGTTGTAACTGTAGCTACAAACAGGTAAACAAAACTGTTTCTGTGTTTAAAAAAGAACGAAAGAATGGAATGTGATGGTTACAGTTTTACCAAAGCTCTCAGACCACTCCCACTCTCTCCGGAAGAAAGCTTGAACATGCGTCAAAAACATGTGATGCAGTTATTGTTTATCTGAACTCTGTGTTAGCTGAACAAGGTGAAGGTCTTCTTTGCTGAACACATCTTTAATCATTATAATAATTGTTATTATTAAAACCAAAGCATAATAATCCATTCCATGTAATTAAAATACCTTTATAATAACCAAGTGATCATGTTATGATGATTATATTAAACAGTAATAAAATCAATGAGTTTTTTAATTATTATTCTAATTATTGTCATCGTGACTTGAAGTATCCTTCTGGACGGAACAGCAAATATGATGTTATGATCTTGAGCAGACATCGTGGCTCCTTGGGTCAATCTGGGGATTCAAAAAGTACTGTTTAACCCAGCTTGACCCAGCTGGGCAAATGCGACCTTTGCCACACATCAGAGAACCTTCATCACGCTACAATGTATATGAGTGTAGATAATGATTAACTTGTTAAATCAAACACATAGTGATTCGTGATATGAATGGATCATTGTAGGAACAATGTTCATTTTAAATTCATTGATTTAAGCACAGGTTATTCAAACATTTCATTTAGACATCATATTCATTCATCACATTTGATTATTTCACTTATTTCACTTATGAGCTGTAAAAGTTCACTTTTTATTCAGAGTGACGAATCCAGCCGTCTGACTTTAAGCAAAGAGAGATAAGGCTTTTGAGTCTGGTGATGCCTTGACAGTTTATTTATGTCTGCGTTGAAGAACAATGAGTGAGAAAAAGGTTGATTTGTGCATCTGGATCCTCCAGCTGGCGCAAACCTGACCCAGCAGTTCCGACGTGCATGATAGGTTATGCTGTGTCAATTCGATGGTGGAAACGGACTCTTTTTATTCATTACAATTTCAAGTTTAAATGTTTGGTTATTTGTACACGCTGTTTGAGCATTTTCTACCGAGCCAAATGTTATGATAAAAAATAAACACTATTTTTGACAATAAAGATTACATAATTCAGTGTGTAATTTTTTTAAATTTAAGGGCTTTCTTATGAACTAGTCTCACCAGAATATTACTTGTTTAAAGGGGCAAAGAATGTAGTTTATCTCTGAATCTCTGAGAAGCAAAAGAAACTTTCTTTTGGCCGTCATCTGTCCCGGGAGCCCTGATACAGGCCACTCTAAACCCCCTAAATCAGCCTTGCTGTAAGAGCTGTTTACCCCTCCTACTTGGCCAGGACATGAATATGCTAATGAGCTGCTTGGTCATTGGTTGGTTTAAACCAGAAGGCCTCAGACACTGGAGAGTGCATATTGGAGGAGGAAGGGCTCCACATTGTGACGATTTTATGAGACGAAAATAAGTTATTCTCTTGCATTTTTGAACTTTCTAATTTACATAAAAAGTAGGTCACACACAGCTTTGACTTTTTGGCATGCTACTTTTGACCATGAGGATCAGCACCTTCAAATCTGAGACCATGGTTCTCGACCGGAAAAGGGTGGCTTGCCAACTCCGGGTCGGGGCAGAGGTCCTACCTCAAGTGGAGGAGTTTAAGTATCTCGGGGTCTTGTTCACGAGTGAGGGTAGGAGGGATCGGGAGATCGACAGGCGGATTGGTTCAGCATCTGCAGTGATGCGGACACTGAGCCGATCTGTCGTGGTGAAGAGGGAGCTGAGCCAGAAAGCCAGGCTCTTGATTTCCCGGTCGATCTACGTCCCAATCCTCACCTACGGTCATGAGCTTTGGATAATGGCCGAAAGAACAAGATCGCGGATACAGGCGGCCGAAATGAGTTTCCTCCGTAGGGTGGCTGGGCTCAGCCTTAGAGATAGGGTGAGGAGCTCGGACATTCGGGAGGGACTCGGAGTAGAACCGCTGCTCCTCCGGATCGAAAGGAGCCAGTTGAGGTGGTTTGTGCATCTGGTCAGGATGCCTCCTGGACGCCTCCCCGGGGAGGTGTTTCGGGCAAGTCCTGCCAGCAGGAGGCCCCCGGGTCGACCCAGGACACGTTGGAGAGGTTACATCTCCAATCTGGTCCGGGAACGCCTTGGGTCCTGCCGGAGGAGCTGGTGGAGAAGGCCGGGGAGAGGACGGTCTGGAGCTCCCCAGTTGGGATGCTGCCCCCACGACCCGGACCCGGATAAGCGGAGGAAGACGACGATGACGACGACTTTTGACCACCCAAGCTCTCTTTATTCACAAACAAGAAAATGTTGGTTTAGATTATTTGTCCCCTTTAAACATTGAATTCATGGCACTGCATTTGTATTCAGTGATGCAGGTCTGTCGTGGTGAAGAGAGAGCTGAGTTACAAGGCAAAGCTCTTGATTTACCAGTCAAACTACGTTCCTACCCTCACCTACGGACAGAAGCTTTGGGTAGTGACTGAAAGAACGAGATTGTGCTTACAAGCAGCCAGAATGAGTTTTCAGCAGGCTGGCTGGGCTCTTCCTTAGAGATAGGGTGAGAAGCTGGATCATTCAGGAGGGGCTCGGAGTAGATCTGCTGCTCCTCCACATCGAGAGGAGCCAATTGAGGTGGCTCGGGCATCTGGTTAGGATGCCTCCTGGGAAGACCAAGGACACACTGGCGGGACTTGTATCTCAGCTGGCCAGGGAACACCTTGGGATTCCTCCAGGAGGAGCTGGCCCAAGTGGCTGGGGAGAGGGAAGTCTGGGTCTCTCTGCTTGGGCTGCTGCCTCCGCAACCTGACCCCAGATAAGCAGACGATAATGGATGGAATTTTTATTCTGTGAAATTATGTATCTGAATTGTTTGCACTCAAAATACACCAGCAATACCTTCCTCTTCAGAAATCCCTCAGCAGAAATTCAGCTGCAATGAGGTAACCTCCTGTGACCCAGGACCAAATTCACAGAGAAACTGTGTAAAACTTGTTCATCCTGAAATACCATCGGTCACTCGGAGTTGCAAATGAATGCAGATTATGAAAAATGTCTTCAGCCCATATCACATGCATTAGCTGCAGAAAACGATGGCGTCAGAAAAGGTCGGTCTCTTTTACATCACAGGGAACGATTTGAACCAGCTCCGCTGAGAAAACATTTACCTCCTGGAGCGCCAGAGCCTTTCCCCACAGAAAAACAACTCAAGGCATCATTCATACAAGAGACCTGAGTAGATTTATTGAAGAAATTAGTGAAAAAAAAATTGGTGTGTTTTGCTTTGATTTAAACAGAAGTTCTGAGAGGATTTTTTGTGACAAACTGATGGCACTACATGTGAACTTTCCAGTCAATCAGTGTGAAAAAAAAGACCGACAGATAAACGTTTTCTGTTGGTCATTAGGTCTCTGACCAGTTTATGGCTGAGATTTCTCCAGGGAGGCCTTGCTGAATGTCCATTTGGAGACAGAGTGAGCCCGAGTGAACATCGGGGGTGCACCGTGAGTGATGAGCTCTTCGGCTGGAAGCTGCAACCTCAGCACCGCCCTGGAAGAGCCAGAATTCATCATCCTGAGCTGTAATGGGAAATTGGAACTGCTGGTCTTTATGCACAAATGCTGGCTTTGTTTGAACTGTCCACCATCTTTGCATCCAAACAGTAAACCAACCAAGAGAATTTATGCAACATTGCGTCTTATTCTGAATTCCTGAAGTCAGATCACTGATGCTGAGCGGGATCCCAACAGAACATCTACACATGCTCTAATAATGATTTTAAGAACTGGAGGGTCATAAGATGCTGCATCTGCAATATTTCTTTTTGGCCTGATGAGAGTAAAGGACTTGTGATGCAGCTTCTACTATATTCGGCACAAGCTAACTTTGTGTAAACCCTAGGTGAAGTGTCCCTCCCAGCCAGATGTAGCAGCACAAAAGTGAACTTGAGATTTGCGATGAGGAGCAACTGTCCTTCTAAATTTCTCAATGATTTCATTCACATTAAAGCAGAAGTTGATTTTCAAAGGCATGCTAAATGATCCTTGAGTAGCAATTGGGTCACACACACTTCTATCGTTGGTCACTGTCACAAAAGGAGTTTAGGTTAGCCAGTTACTCAAGAGTCAGATGGCCATGGTGGATACAGATTGAGAACATAATTACTTTATCAGATGTCCAACATTTCTTTAAAACCTTGTTTTATTTTGAAAGCTTGGTTTTCAGAAGCTGTAAGCCATCATGTTTAGTTAAATACCTGGCTTTGCATGTAATGAGTCTATCTCAGACATTAGTTTGTCTTTTTAAGCTGAATTACTGAGATAATTGAACTTTTGCACCGTATTCTAATTTTTCCAGTTTCACCTGCATAACCGGGGGTGTCCAGACTTTTGAAGACGAGTGCCAAAGATCTCACACTTAAAAAAAAAAAATCTAAAAAAATGTTTTAAGTTAAACATTTTATCTGTGCTGTTAAAAAAGGCCTAAATTAGACATAAAATCTGAACACGAAGTTGAAAAGGATAGATGTAAATAAACAGCCTGCTGGAGGATTGGAACACAATTCCACCATTTTTGAAATCCTTGTGTGTAAAAATTTCTTGTGTACACAAAGTCAAAGAAATCCTAGAAAAACTGGACAGCAATTTTCTAAAACTAAATCTCACTGGCAGCATTGCCATCTTGCTAGATTTAATAAAAATGTCTCCTAAGAAATAACACCCCCTCCCCAAAACCAGGGGCAAACTAAACCAGTTGCAGGGTAGGAGCTTACGAACACTTAAAGTTTGCAAAAATGTCCGTTCCAATGGAAAATTAAGTTAATCTTTATTTCTCATAATAAATACAGCTCTGCTGACAGCTTAACAGTTACACTGAATGATAACTTTACAAACAAGAGTAACAGTTCCTGATGGGAGCGCTGTGATTGGCACCGATACCTCTGGCCAATAAAATAACTAATCTGGGGAGGAGAGACACTTTAACGACTCGGTTACAGAGGAAGAGGTCGTGCTGAAACGGGTTACGAACCGCTTCCTGGAATTCCATGTAATCAAATCAAAGCCATCATTTAAATGGGTGGATCTTAATGAATCGTTTTCATTTAACCTCTGAAAGTCAGAAACAGAAGTGTTGCTTCTAGAAAGTACTTTGGTGCTCTGCTGCCCTCTAGTGTGAGTCAGAAGAATGGGCACAAACAACTCAGGCATTCAAAGGTAAAAAAGAAGAAAAGAACTTGAACTCTGAGATGCTGTAGTTAAAAAGACAAGAGAGAGGCACCTATTGTGTTTAGCAACACTACTCCAGAGTGTAAAGGAACGAGCCTAGGCACCATGTTGCTGATCTCTACACGTCTCTCTCCCGCCCTCTCATCCAGGACCAGATCAGGAACAGCCTGTTCTCTCCCTGGAGAAGTATTTTTTGGCTTAGAGGATCTGCTCGGTGCTTGAGGCGGAGATGTCCAGTAGTCTCCAGGCAGCATTCGGGTTCAGCTCTTCCTGGTCTCGGCAAAGAGCCCACACATACATCATCCTGAGCACCTTTTCCTGAAAGAGCAGCAACACGCGTTCTTAGCTTTAAAATAAAAATACTGCATTTATGAATGATTTTAATAAAGTCAAACGGAAAGACGAGTTTTCTTTAAACATTATCCATATTTTTCCACAGTCATCCGTAAGGAGCAGGATGTCACATTTGAAGCCTGGCTAATAAATTCGAAACAGAACAGCTGAAGCACCTTTAATTCTCTGACTGTCGTATTACACTCTGACAACCAGGCAGCTGCGGTGAGTACCTTGACCTCTCTGCTGTTTATAACTGTCCTGATGTTCCCTGAGGGAAGGGGCGGCTGAGTTACAACTCATAAAGATGGTTTTTCTAACCACATAAAAGCCTTGCTGGCACAACTCAACATGGCTTTGCGGTCTCTATAAATCCTGCTCATGAATATATATTTGTATTTAAAACGATGAGGAATATGTGCTGCAAATGAATTAAATATATGCAAACACAGATTGAAGCACCAAGGTGTTCCCTCCACTTCTGTGTTATTTTAATAACACAATAATTGTATTACAGCAACAAAAACAAACACAATAATCTTTGTTTTTAACCAAAAGGAAAATCTGGGAAATGTATTCCTGCAAAAAAGTGTTGGGTTTGCATGTTTCACTCACAGGATCTCCCTCCACCACCTCTCCCTTTGCGTTTCGAATCACCATGACCATCTGAGCCTGGAATGTTATAATCAGCACTGGCCCCTGCTCCATCATCTTACCCATGGCCAGCTGGAGAAGAAGGAAGAATATTTTAAAACGCACTCATTTTAAACTAATGAACTCAACTGGAGGCGAAACTGTTTCAGAGTGACACTTGTCAAACCCTGATCGCTGCTCTGAAAATGTGTAAAAGCAACTTGCATCGATGCTGTCTATGTCCAGGATCTTGGAGTGGAACTGAAGCCCCATGGCCTTGGCCTGCTGAATTGGATGTGCAAGTTGGCTGTAGGTCTGCCGACCCAGAGCGGGGGACACAAAAAGACACCGTCACAACTCATTTAACTCTTAATATTAGACTGATATTGGTTTTTCTATTGCCGATACTGATGCAGATATGTAGAGGTAATGTTCACCAGATAAAGATATGTGCTGCTGATTTTTTTGGGCTGAAATCTAGATGTTTTTCTCCTTATTTGTATGCTAAAATGTAACCAATACCCTCAGCTGAATCAGATTTTGAACGCTGAAATTAACCAACTGTTAAATTTTAATTAGTGAACTGCTCAGTGTTAAAATCAAGCATCTAACTAAAGTTAATCAAACAAATCAATTAACTGACAAAGTATTAAATATTCAAAACTGGTAAATAAAAATACATTTTTGTTCAAATATTTTTGGAGCATTTATTATGCAATTATTAATCAGGAGCATAAATATGCATCTAAATTTAAATTTGCAGCACCAGGCTGGCCAGGATGTGCCTGACTTTAAACTGGCTTTACTAAGGAGTAGATTGGTCAAAAGTGATATATATATATAAAATGGTAAATATCGGTCTAGCCTTATTTAATATGAGCACAATAAAGAACCTGAAGAGGCCTTGCTCTCAGAGTGTGAGCAGTTTAAAACTTTACCGCTTCAAAACACCAGTCCTTCAGAACCTCCAGCTCCCCTTGGATCATCGCCTGTATGAAAACAGAACACTGAGATGACGCCAAAGCCCTGATCATCAACATGTTTAATATTCCTGATAGAAGCTTTTATTAGAATGTGATCCAGTTTTCAACATGCTGAAAATCTCCAGTGAATCTGAACAAGTGCTTGTTTGGACCTCAGCGTACCTCCAGTATGTTTGGGATGATGTCGCGTTCGCACTGTTTTAGGAAGGAGTCCTTATCAAAAGAAGGATCCACCTTCAGAATCTCCGTCATAACCTCCGACATTTCTGTCTTTGAAAATAACCCTCCTACAAATAAATGTATGAATTAGAAAATAAATCTAAAACACAGCTGGCCTTAAGACTCATACTCACAAGAGAGATCAAACTTCAGTCAAAACATTAAACGGTCTTAAACAACAAAATCAAAACAAGGAAAATGTGAACAAAAACGCTCTAACAACCACCATCGCCTCTTCCATTACCAATAATGTCCAAAAAACGACTCCAGAAACATCCTAGCAGGAAATATTTCCACAGATAGTTAAGGGATCAGTCTAATGTTTGCACGTTTCTCACCGATAACGTTGGTCATCTTGTCAGCGACAGCTCGTGATGCTCTGATGAAGATGTTGTCACTCTCATCATACTTCATCTTCATCTCAAAAAACCCTTTAGAATAGATTTAAAAGAGTCGTGTTTTAAAAGTCGAGCATTTTTCCGATGTTTACCGAACAAAAGTCCATCTTAAGTTTTTATTTTCACTGATTCATGAACAGAACAGAACTCCAATGTGCGGGTTGTCCAGTAATCGGCAGGTTGCCAGCAAGATCCCGGCTCTGAGCAGAGAATGCTGCTGTTGTGTCCTTGGGCAAGGCACTCAACCTACACTGCCTGCTGATGGTGGTCGAAGGAACTGGTGGCACCTGTTCGTCGGTCAGTGCGCCCCGGGGCAGCTGTGGCTACATCGTGGCTCATCCCCACCAGCGTGTGAATGACTGATTATGTTGTGAAGCACCTTGGGGGGTTGCAGGTGCTACACAAATACAGGCTATTTATTGATAGTGATTAATTCATCACAGGGTGACCGCTGAAGATAAGCTCCAGCTCCATGACCCTACTGAGGACTAAGCTTTAGATGATGAACGACGCGGGGGACAAACCGGCTGCGGAAGCGCCGCGAAGCGAATCGCTCACGAAATTCGGCCGCTGCTCGCCGCTCCTCAGTTCAGATCAGACGCGCTCCAGTCGAGGCTCGCCTCGGGTCAGCTGTAGTTTTTCCTTTTAAACACTTGGTGTCCTCCATTTCCTCTCTGCCTTTTCTCAGCTCTTTTCCTCTACGTTTGAGTGTGTGTGTGTGTGTGTGTGTGTGTGTGTGTGTGTGTGTGTGTGTGTGTGTGTGTGTGTGCGTGTGTGTGTGTTCGTGTGGTTTTTCTGCAGTGTCTGATTACTAACACATTTGACTATTGCGGAATTTTATTTTGAAATGCTTTATTTTGTTAACTTTACCGGCCTGCCTCTTATGTCTAGGTTTGACTTCCTGCCAGAATTGACGCGATTCACCCGCGGCTCGCGAAAAAATAGAGCCGACGCCGAAATGATCGCTGCACGGCGTGGGCTGGAGCACCGGCGCGAGGCGGTTCGCAGCACTTCGGCGGCCCATGTGGTTTATAGAATAGCTTAACAAGGGCGCCGAATGAAGGCGGTCCCATTTTCGCGGCGCTTCCGCGGCCGGTGTGTCCCCGGCGTGAGTGAATTTTTCACAGAACTTTGATATGCCTTTGGGTTCTAAATGCTGGATGATGATGATGATAATAAATAATGTTTATTAGAATATAAAGAGACTTAAAAAGGAAACAACCAACAACAGAACATGAAGGGTAAATAACAGAAGAACAGAGAAATGTCCAAGTTCTTACTGTTAAAGACCACATTGTTGTCCTTGAAGTCTTTCCACTGTTGGTACCATTTGGAGTTCTTATGCAGCACCATTCCCATAGCTTCCCTACAGCAGACACACAGTCAAGTTTCCTAGCGATGACTCCATAATTTCCAGACAAAACAAAAGTCACCATTTGTAAACATAAAGGAACTGAATGTAAACAAAAGAGTAAAACGAGTGGAGCCATCTTGTTCTGAACTTGAAAGGGTGATGGTCTTTTCAAATTCAGGGAAAGGGAAGGACACTCACGTACTCGTTGGCTTCGAAGACTTTATCATCCCCTGCTCCCCTGGAGGAGAACTCGGTCCTCTTTCGTAGCCTGACTGGAGGTCTGTAAGGGCCAGTGTGGCCAAGGTCACCGATCTCTTTCTTCACACTCTCCATGCCCTGATGAAAAACAATCTTCCTTTATTTGTGGGAGACAAACAGAAAACAAATATAGAAAATGTAAGCTTAGGCTTTAGTCCCATTAGTACTGCATACCTGAGATATTGCTTTGAATGCACCAGACTTCCCCAGCTTCTCCCCACTCTTAGAGACCGACTCTGCAGAGGTTTTAGCTGTTTTTGCAGCTTCCTCCATTCCTTCTTTGATTTTCTTACCAATGTCTGTCCGACTGACCTCCTCCAGCCCCTGTTCACAGACAAAAAGATTCCAACTCAACATCACCTTCAACAGCAGATGATTCATTGACTTGGGTAGCTGTATGATGCTCATTCTCACCTCTTTAACTGTCTCAGAAATGTTTCCAAATGTCTTCTTCAGAACCTCAGATGTCTTCACTGTTTCGGATTCTATATTTTTCTGAAGAAAAGTTAAAGAGAGGACTACTGAGCACATCAAACTATCAGTAAACTAAATATTAAGGATAAGCAGAGGTGGAAAGTAATGGATTAAATTTACTCGCGTTACTGTAATTGAGTAGCTTTTGTGTGAATTTATACTTTTTAAGTCATTTTTAAAATCTTGGGTATGTTTCTTTTTAAAGAAATGTACTTCACTACATGTTCACTCATAGCCGTTCCTGAGTAAAAGGCTTAATAAATTTAAAATATTGCGCTTTGCAGCGTCAGAACAGAATGAGAGAGACTTCCATGAGCGCCGCGTCTCACCTGTGGGGGTGTGGGTGTACACTTTTTGTAACGAAGACGTTAAACAGCCACTTTTCCTGCAGTTTTACTCAAAAACATCAGTCCAGTCCCTGTGATGCAGTCACTGCTTACCCCCTCCTGTTGGTTGAAACCCTCACCTTCTCTCACCGGTGTTACATCAGTATTCTACTCGATTCGGTGGCTGGACTCGGCTCCGTGTTTGAAATGTGCTTCCCCAACTGCTCTGCACGGCAGCAGCAGAACGTTTAGCGCTCCTAACAATCGGACTCCCAGCACATCGCTTACAAACAGGAGACCTGCAGGCAGCCTCTGTGAGTTAAAACATCTTGTTGGTGCAAATCAACACTAAATACTGGAGCTAACATTATGTGCTCCAACCCTGTGTGTGTAAACTGTTTTATGATGCCACGGGTTTAGCCTGTTTCTTTATTTTAATCAAGAATAAGAGATTAACTTATTACTAAAGAAGTTCAATGTAGTTAATTAGTCATTCAAATTATTCTAAAATGTTGGAGTGTGTGTGTGTGTGTGTGTGTGTGTGTGTGTGTGTGTGTGTGTGTGTGTGTGTGTGTGTGTGACACACATTTAAGACAGCATGAGACAGCATGGTTTCATCAAATCCAAGTAATGGCTCATGAAAATGACTTATATTTCATAAATAATGACGTCTCAATAGTGTCAACGATAATATTTAAACATTTATTGTGTTTGGTCTGGGAGGTGTAACGTATCGTGATACAAGCCTTTTAAAACATGTTAAAAAAGTGTGCTACAAGAGGAGATAAATGGATGAATAAATATTTAAAGTTCATGTTTGGATACCAACCTTCACAGTTTGTCACTAAAATGAATGGAAGTCAATGACGGTCCTCACAACGAATGCTAGACTGCAGTGTGTGTATGTTCGTGTGTGTGTGTGTGTGTGTGTGTGTGTGTGTGTGCGTGCACACATGTGAGCTTAATGTGAACTGATTTTGCACTACTTAGATTAACCATCCTTACACTGACAAAATGTAACCAAGTAACTTTTCTTTTGAGAACATATTATTTACAATACATTTAACAGTTACTTGAGTAAAATTTTAGGCAAGTACTTTAACTTGTATTTGAGTAAAAAATCATGAAAGTATTGGTATTCGTAAGGTAGGAAATTTTAGTACTCTTTCCACCTCTGAGGATAAATAACTTGACAGTGATCTTGGTAATGGTCAAATACTAACATATTTCCTCCGAGCTTGTTGCAGTGCATCCGACTCTTCAAGTTTTTTGGCCTCTTCCCGAAACTTCTTGATGTTTTCTTTCATTTCTTTGTTCTTGTTTAGTTCCTGCTTCAAGTTATCCAAAAAATCCCCAAGAAACCCCTTCCTGCCACCGCCTCTCTCCCCGGACAAATACCTAACCTGAAGAAGGGGAGACTGAGGCACAGTGGTAGAAGAAAAAGATAGGAACGATTAAAACAGACTGAGTACAGTTATATCATTTAATCATTTGAAATGATCTGAATTAGTAGTTCTTTGTGCGTTCTGTGGGTTTTTACAGGTTTTTCTTTGGACACTGGCTGACTTCTCGTTTTCTGACCATCACAGACTTGTGGTGTGTGATCAAAAGAAAATCTAATAGAGAAAAAAAAAAACGTTCTGGTCGATCAAAGCACCTACACTCAAAGTATCGGAAATTAAAAGGAAGAAATTCAATGAAGCAAAAATCTGACTGAAGACTTGGAAATGGCATATTTCTTCTACAGATCATACCTGAAATTATCTTGTTGGTGGTAAAATATTATTTTACATCCATTAAACTCCAGAATACCTTCAGAAAGCACAAAGAACTATTGATCAAAACCACTTCAGGCTCCTTTAACACATTATAAAGCTTATACTAGGGATACTTCTTAAGTGTGAGGTTGCATAAAATAGAGGTGGTTCAAATTTAACCACTAAAAGGCTGACTTTGTATAAACATCTAAATAAATACACTCATATGGCCCTGAATATCTGGTACTTAAAATCTGTCATTTTTCTGCAAACACGTCCAGATTATTGTCAAACTATATTTCACCTCACTGTAAGTTCATTATTACTCATTAAAATAAATGTTCGTTTTGCTTCTCAACGTTCCAGCCCAGAATAAAGTGTTGGTACCTGTGGAGAACATCTGAGGAGCTCATGTATCCTGTAAACATGAAGTCTGTTTGAAAACGGCAGGCAAGAGGGAGAAGTCACCAAGCCTTTTCTTAAACACATCTGGACACGGACGGACACACACACAAAGATATTAATGTAGACAACTACTTCCGAACCGAATACAATGACATTCCCACATTTCGGGAAATCTTGGACAGAATACACGACAGTATTGATGTCAGACAAGTGGAAACCTTTTGAGCACACAATACTTGGTCCAAATAGGATTAAAATACCGCATTTGAGCTAACGTAGCTAATGCTAGCAGGGCAGAAAATGACTTTTAAACAATGGCAAACTAACTTATATAGGTTCCACCATCAGTTGTTTCATGTTTTTAAATAATACACTGTAAAAACACCTCAAGGGCTCACCTGATAACACCGACATAAGGGGACCGCCATCATGAATGCCGTAGAGACCTTCTTCCGGTTCTGACCTTTCACTTCCGGGACGATAAAGCGTCAAGCAACTCGTCTTTTGAGATGAATCGTTTATATATGCCATTATTTTAACACGTATTAAAAACGTCTGTATAAAAAATATACAATTTATAGTTTAATTGTACTTAAATGTTTTCTTCTTCACTATTCCACTTCGAATTTTTATTTAAACGTAAAACTCAATCTGTAAAAACACAAGTCAGAAGATTTTTTATGTTGAGATTTATTTATCAAACCATCTCAAAACACAAAGTAACAGAAAAAAACTGAACTGTAATTAAAAGTTTGGCCTCTAAAATGTAAATACCAATCTAAGAAATAACTAAAAACATCCACTGATACAAATTTCTAACTAAAATAGCATCTACTGAATAGATTTCACTGAAATGCAGTTTTGATCATGCAGTGTTTAGATAAGACCAAATCAACTGGCAAATACAACACAAATACAATTATGCATTTCTATCAATCCTAACATCAATCTCTCTCCCATTCAGACGATAGCCGTTCATGGTCCGGCAGGCTCGCTCAGCAGTTTCAGGGTTGTCAAAACGTACCACACCACAACCCTTGGATTTGCCATTTTCCATCTTTATATCAGCATACTGGACCATACCTGCACAGATTCCGAGAAGACATGTCTCAACAGAAAAGCACCAACATGAAATTTTACATTTTCTGCTCAGTTAGCTTGTTTAGATCTTGCTCTTTGAATAAACCTTATTTTAAAGTTATGAGCTGCAGTCTAATGTTTCAAGGACTGAGGTTTACTTTAATCAAAACAAGGTCAAGCTGGATAATGCATTAGCTTCCTTACAGTAGATCAGAAACCAAGCATTCTTTTATTTCTGAGAAAACAAAAGCCATACTTACCACATGTATTGAAGGTATCCTTCAGCATCTTCCAGGTGAAGTCAAATGGCAACTGGAAAACAAAATCCAAGTTTGAAAATAAAACAAAGCTAAACTTCTGGGATGAACCAAGCCCAACTTAAATTGAAGGAAACAAACTCACATTTCTAACAAAGATTTGACATCCCTTTCTGATGTTGCCTCCCCCGATTCCAGGTCCTCCAGCTCCTCCAAAGGAATTCCCACCAAATCCACGATCTAAATCACCGGAGCGATCAAACTGCCCACCAACACCTCCAGATCCGATCCGGTCCATGGCAGAGCCCATGCGGTCAAGGCCACCAGAAGGAAAGCGGTCAAGTCCTCCAGAAGACGCCATGCGATCAAAGCTGCTCCCCATTCTGTCAAGTCCAGTGTTGCCCATGCGATCCATGCTCATCTGGGAGCCAAAGTCCATGCTGGTACTTATACGATCCAAATTAGATGGGCCCAGACGATCAAACCCACCAGGACCAAGGCGATCCATGTTAGAACCCATGCGGTCTACACCTGGTCCAAGCCTGTCCATGGTGGGCCCAAGCCGGTCCATGCCAGAGCCAGCACGATCAAACCCAGATCCCAGCCTGTCCAGGTCAGACCCACGATCAATCCTGTCCGCACCCATACGGTCCATTCCTCCAATGTTGCCTCCTAGGCGATCCCCTCCAGTGTTCATTCGATCCATCCCAAGGGTATTTCCTATAAGCATAAACAAACAAACAAAAACAAGAACACAGTGTGACTAAATTGATTGAACAGACATTTAGTAGGGGCCGTCATACACAAAATACTGGAGTACTGACCCATTCCTCTATCAAACGAATCTCCAAAATTATTGCGAGACATTCCCATTTCATTTCGCCCAAAGTCTCTGTCAAAAGCACCACCAACCCCACGGTCCATATCTAACAAAAAAGATAAATCCATCAGAAACATCCACCAAATCAATGAGGTCATTGCTGGCTTTGTGGTTTTAAGTGAGTCTACCTCTACCTACCATTTACCCGTCCCATCCCAGAAGAGCCAAAACGATCCATGCTGTTCATTCCGCCAAAGTTATCCATACCTAAAAACAACACAGGTCTTAGTACTTCAGGAAGTACAGAAGGTATTTGTAAATAAAAAATAGTTAAGTATTTAATAATCAGACTTACCAGCTCCTCCACCTCCTCCGCCTCCCATTCGACCTCCCATGTTGTTAAATCCCATTCCATCCATTCCTGAAATTGAGATCACTGATTGAGTACTAGTGTTTATATTTAAGGGTCAACAGAAAACTTGAGTTGATTACCTCCTGGGCCCACGTTTCCCATCCCTCCACTTCCCCTATTGAGCATTTGTGTGTCAATAGGCTGACCACCCGGTCCAAGTCCCAAACCAACACCACTTAGACCTCCTAGTTATGGGGAAACACACACAATATCAGAAAACTTAGCAATGTATATCATTAAAAGTCAGGTTTGCTAAGTCATTAAAATAAATTATGCTAATTAACTCATTCACTTCCATCGACTACTAAAGTGGACATTTTAAATCCAACTTCTCGCTGCCATTCACAACTTAAGTTGTCAATTTTATTTTATTTTTTAAACGGTGCAGACTTGGGAACACGCTTGCGCATCTGGAGTAAACATGACGCCCCTAAAGTTGATTTTCACCCGTGTGTCACACGTCATGTGATCATGAAGCAGACAATCGTTTTGAGATTCCGCTATGCCTAAAGCGAGGCGCAAACCGGAAAATCTGCTGCAGCTCGCACTTCAACAACGGATTGTGAAAGAAAAAAAAAGCTAGAAACATGCAGATTCTTCCTGATCTAAAAAGTGAGTCTACTCTTAGTAGTTTTGGTGTTTACATGGTCGTAGAACACAATATTCCGGGACTCTTCAAAAAAATAAAAAATTAATAAAAATAAATAAACAGGAAAAATGCTCCTAATAGCTGGCAGTCAGGGGGTTTCTGTTCAACTAACGGCTGGCAGTGAATGAGTTCAAAATAAATTTCAATGCCATGCTGGGAGCCCAAGTCTCCTCCCTTTCCGGTCGGCTCATGAGTCCCAGAAAAACGAAAAAATGAATGCAAGTCAAGCGGAGTTAGAAAATAGAATTTTTGCCTCATCGACTTGCATTCATTTTTTCATTCATCCAGGGACCCATGGCCTGGAAGTAGATAGGTGTGACTTAGGATCACTATTCTCATACATTCCTTTACTTTTAGGGTGTATACTTACGGGGAAGAGCAGCAGATCTATCTGGTTGTCCAAACTCTTTGGGGAGGGACTTCTCATCCTGTAAAAGTGCAAAAAACAAAATAATTTAAATCATCGGATTTTAAAATGTATAAAAAAATTTAAATAACAAAAATCTAAGCTAAGCAACATACCAGCTTGACATGCATGGTTCTGTTGAATAGGACCTGCCCGTTGAACATAGCTGCAAACTCATTAAGGACAACAACAAAACAACAGAAGAGCAACAAACACAAAGTGGATCAACAAAAACATGATAAAAGATACAGACAGCTTGAACTGCTTCAATGGGCATTTCAAATGTTACTGTGCCCATGCCTCTGCTTTTCCCCTCCTTGTCTTCCAGAATGTCCGTCCTTACAACCACACCCGCCATGCCGAATACCTCCTTCAGTTTTTTCCACCCCACTTTGTAATCAAGCTATAAACATCCAAAAAAGAAAATCTGATATGAGGTTACTTGAAAGGATGAGATGGTTTACAGGCTTCTCACTATGTATTGAATCTCATTCACAAATTATTTCCCAATATTGCTATAGCAGTTTTGAATGATTAAAGGTGGGATATGGAATATTTTAATAAAAGGCTACATTTAAAAAAAATAACTCCACGGGCATTTAGAGGTGTGCAGAATTAATGTACAGTTTTTCCTTTAAAGGCTATGTTGAAAGAAATAATCAAATTGTAATTTAGTCGGGCACAACACTGGGTTTATGTTTACATCTACCAGCCACTAGATGGCACCTTTGCGCTAAAAAGTCTGTCCAGCAAGGCGAGGCTGGAACTGTGTAAAATGGCGGACTTGATAAGTCAAGCAGCTGATTCTGAGCCCAGAAGATGTTCTAAACAGTAAACACTGTTGTAAAATAAACTTATTAGTAGAAATTTGTCCTTATCCTGTACCATTTGTCACTGGACATGGTGCTGGCTGGCCACTTAATGTATCAGCCGTGAACCAACACCCGGACAGCTGGAAAATGTTTTCTGTTGTTGCAGCTACCACCTCTAAACACTAGATGTCGCTAGAGTGTCCGTGTTCCGTATTCAAACTTTAACAAGTAAAGTGTGATTGTGTTCACGTGTCTTAGAAAAAATGAAGTTTCAAAAATTGTAGTTTAGATTTTAAAATTCTCGTTTAACACAATTCCTTTTGTTTCTGATTAAAATAAAACCATGTTAAAAATCTGTGAGTCTCACATTTGCCACAAAGATGGTGCTTCCAATTCTGCCATTTTGGAGACCCTGAATGACCTCACTAGGGATGTTTGGGTTATTCATCAAGCTGGGGGGGATGTTGACCATAGGGCCAGATGGTCCTGGGCCCATGCGATCCATTCCGCCCATCCGATCCATTCCGCCCATCCGATCCATTCCACCCATCCGATCCATTCCTCCCATTCCGCCCATGCCACCCATTCCCGCCATGCCACCCATCCGATCCATTCCGCCCATGCCACCAATGCGATCCATTCCGCCCATGCCACCAATGCGATCCATTCCGCCCATGCCACCAATGCGATCCATTCCGCCCATGCCACCAATGCGATCCATTCCACTCATCCGATCCATTCCACCCATGCCACCCATTCCTCCCACTCCAGCATGGCCTCCTAGGGGACCTCCACCAAGAGACTTGCTCATTTCTCTCTGGGCAATGATGCCATCAGGGTCCTAAAAAGCAACCAAAAAATAAATCATCCAGGTAATCCACAATTAAATCAGGTCTAATAAATAGTCAAACACTTGCTGCTTCTTACACTTCCTGTATCCTACCTCTTTCACTTTGAGGGGCCGCCCATTGAGGGAATGCTTGTTGACCTTTTCCACAGCTTTTTTCATCAGCTCTTCAGTCCTAAACTCAACAAGACTAAAGGAAAAAAATAAGTTTAGAATAGCTAGATTTCCATTTGCATCCCATTTCCCATGAACAGTGGGGCATGATTACCACCATCTAAGCAAGACTGGAGATTCTCTTTGGAACGATGATGAAAACACAGGTTTGATTGTTGGGATATTAAATTAAATGTACTTACGCACAACCCTGTTTGATTGAAGTCATCAGAGCAGGCAACAAACAATGGAAAAATAAAATAAAATTAGCAAAGGTAATGTTAATTAGTTGGTCTAATATATTTATTGCACAAGAAAATATTCATGCACAAGAAAAGTTCAACACACACACAAGCCTATTGTCTTGGCAACAAGTACGAACATAAAAGGTACTTTTCCACCCAGTCAGTGACAAAGCCAAGTGCTGTAAAAATCAAGAGCTGTTTTCAAACACCCAGGTTGATGGTTTTCCACACAACTAAGTTATTAGAGAGCTATTATTTTCCACTGAAACTGACTTATGAATTGGTTGCATTTAACAAACCATCTAACAGCTTTATAACAACCTTATGGCAACTAAAGCCCATAACATAAGGAGCAGATTCAGCAACCAAAAGGAACATTGTCCTCTAAAACAATCCACAGCGAAGTGACTACAAAAACTGAAGTCCTCTATTAGTAGCATTGACCCTTCAGGATGGCCTCCAATCAGTGCCACAGACGACACCAAATAAAGCACACCTCCGGCATCATTTCGCCATCAAAAACTCAACCAGATTTCTGTATTGAACAATTCTCAACAATGTACATAAGGAAACCAAAGCTGACAAACACGTGTTTGTCTAAGCTTGATCATATATTTTATTTGTATGTATATGCACTTACCCTCGATTTGCCTTCTGCGTCCATTAAGTGTTCCACGTATGTTACCTCACCCACTACAAATCAGATTCCAGAGATGACACACACCAAGGGGAGAGAAGCCGAGAGAACAATGGGGGTTTAGAGCAGAAACAAGGAAGTCGGCCGTTGACTGAGCTCAGACTGCTAGTCTTCAGCCTTCCCTCTGCACCTCAGCAGCACAATACGGTACAGGTCCACAAAAATAAGCTTGGAAAAGTATCTTAGGACTTCTTGGTCTGTCCTCGTTTGAACTCTCTCAGAACACCAAAAGCAATTGACAGAAGAAAAGCAAAACAACTTTCCTATTGAAACATAATACTGCAAATACTACCTAGTACATGAAGATAATTCATCATAACTTCTATATGTAGAGAAAATCAGCCCATTTCAGATCAAATTTGCCATTTTAAACATCCAACTAACAAATCAAAACACTCCCCCATCACCTGAGTCCAAGTGGAAAACGAAATCAGAAGAAAAAAATCTTAATGTCGACAACATCTCAGGGAAAGGATGCTCCTCTAACAGTAAATCTGTTCATAGAGTTGAGTAAATCATAATACGCTAAGTACAATTAAATAAAGAATTGCGACCAATTTTGAGTCAGTGATGATCACAGCCACATCAATGATGCAGGTCACTTGTCTGTTCCCCAAATGGACATCAGTGACCAGCCCTTGAGAGACGAGGACAGCACCAGAGAAGCTGCTTTATTTTGTAGACCTGCACCCAAAAGAAAGCCCCAGCAAATAGCTGCGTGTGGCACAACCTGGAGATTTGCTGAGAAAACATTTGCTCGTCAAGGTCACACCTAAAAAAGAAAATGCAATTTAACTCAACATTTGACATAAAACGAATACCGTGTCCTCCATCTCAAACAGAATGGCTCCCATCATAACTTGAACTGTTCTCTTTGGCTAGAAATAAACAATATGTTGATATTTTTCAGTTTCCTACAACTAAACAACTCTGCATGTAAGTGACAACTGACATTATTTCCAGAATTCAGTTGCTGCATCACACAATACTTAATTGTTCATGTTTCCAACAATGTCACCAAATTGTACGTCATCGTCTCCATGTTTACTGATATTCACCAATTCCAACTGATGTCATTCTGGTCCATGCTTGAAGGCAATATTATAAAGGTACAACTACAAAGACATGTAGCTATTTTCCCCATTGGCATCTTGAGAATAGGCTTCTCATTATCCCATTCAAAATCCCAAGCTAAGGGCTTTACACAATAGCCCACTTGCTTTTACAACCTCAATTTCACAAAAACCTCAAAGGTTGAGATGATCTCAATGGGGACTCAAGTCTGACATCCAGGTCCACAGCACGGGTATGCAGCAGCTCCATAGCTAGTGAATGGTTAAGACCACTCCAAAACCTTTGCGAAGAAGAACTTCCACAAAATCTCAAGCATCACATGTGCTACTCCCAAAAGTCCTTCAAATGTGAAGTGGACAAATAAAATGACCTTGGATTCTGATCCTCATTAGATTTTAATAGCATGGCCAAATCTGGCACCAATTGGAGCCTTATCCAAATACCTTACCTTTTTCTTTCATCAGGTCTTTCAGGGCTTGCCATTTCACATCATAAGGGATGTTACTGACAAACACTCTGTATCTCTTGTTTGCATAAGGTTCGAAGCGACCTCCACCTCTCTTCTGGGGTCTCTCTTTCCTGCTGTTATTGGACTCCAACTTGGATTTTCCATTCATTTCTCTACATAAGAAAAATAGTTAAAATGAGAACTGGAGTAAATAATACAATTGAGCACTTCACTCATCAATTATCTAATGTTTACACGAAAATTATTTTAGTGCAAAAGTACAAAGATAAAGCAGCAATATTGGTAAAGCTAATACAATTAGCAACTTCTCAATAGATTTCATATGTTCATTCGCAATAAACAGCGGCCTTAAGACAGGCGTTGTAATCCAATAGTTAGACGATAATTTACTCCCCCAAACTGTATTGCGCATAAAGTCTGTTCATTGCGCCATTAACGTAGGCAAATATTAGAGTTTATAGTTTTTAGCTACAGATATTATTGCCTGGAGAGAAAATGAATAACGATCCAGCAACATGGCGGCGAGGCCGCATTTAGGACAAAGTAGACACATGTAGTAAATACTGTTTGGAAGAAGATAAATTCAAGTCTAGAACCAAAGTAACGCAAGGAAAAGGAAGGTTGTGTCCGTATTTATCATTTAGTTTGTTGCGTTAGCGACAGCAGTAGTAGTAGACAAAATAGAAAAATGACACTTTCCAGAACATAGACGGGCCCGAAACACACAACGCAACAATGAGCAAAAACGAACACCAGAGATGACTAAATCGGTTAGCTGTTGACTATTCATTCCCGTCTGATACAATTAAGCGATGTGTTTTAGTTTTTTCAACAAAATTAAACAACGTGAAAGATTAGTATTCGCGTTAAATCTGACAGGGCTAACGAGCTAAGACAAAGACACGACAAAACACTCACCCCTGCTGCTGGGGCTGGGTTTCCGTCTCGGTTGTATTTTCTGACTGCTCGTTGGACATTTTTATTTTATATTGTTGGTTTTATCAAACTACGATGTGTAAAGTCAAGTACGATTTGTTAACTGTGATGGTAACAAATGACTGCAACAGTACAACGCACGCTCGGCGATTGCAAAAATGGCGGAGCACAAAATCGATGACGAGTTTTAAAAAATACGACTACAACCCCGTTCCGGTTTTTCTTTCAAACTAAAAGCTCCACATTACAAACCACACTTTCAAGACAAGAGCGCTCACCTAACATGAAAACATGTTTGTTTTGGGTTGTTTTTAGTATTTTTTTCAAGAGCAAATATATTACAGCGTCCTGCAATTTGCAAACTTACACACAAAAGAAAGCTGTGAACATGAAAATACATAGTTTGTTGAGGAACACGGTGGCTGCTGTGAGATCAAAGAGGATGAGAATAGACAGAGTTAGAGGCAGTGATGTCATTGGTGATTTTGAGAAGTGCAGTTTCAGTGCTATAAAGAGGACAGAAGCCAGATGAGACTGCTTTGGTGTATTTAGTAATGAGGTTGTGAAGTTGAGAGTCTACCGACTTTTCAAGAACTCTAAAGATGAAGGGTAGATTGGAAATAGGATGTATGTCACGTTTTATTTTATTTTTTTAGAAAATGTGTAACCATTGCAGTTTTGAAATTAAGAGGGACAATTCCAAAATTTAGAGAACATTATTTCGCCTTATTTTGCTCTTATGAGCTATGATGTAGTCACAGCTGACTGACAGATGCCCTAATAGTAGGTAGATTAGGTAACTGCCCGTTCAAAATAGAATATCCTTAACAACTAAAGTTGTAAAATGACTCAAACCTGAACTCCTGTAAAGCAGAGACAACACTTATGTCAGCACTCAAAATGAAATGTTTTATAACTAATTCTTCCGCACCACCAGGTGGTGACAGTCGTTTTCATAGTCCGTACGTAATGACGTAACAGGGGCGGAAGTAAAATCTCTTTCTGGCTTAACAACCATCGAATCTCCACAATAAGTCGTATTGTTCGTATTTATTTACCTATATGTTATGTTTCGCTTAGACTTACGTTGTAGTATTAAGTTAAAAAGAAAACAAAAATTGTTATCTGGATGTTTCAAACAAGAATACCATAATTAAGTGCTGTATTGTTAGCCTTTAGCTAGCGTAGTCAACGTTGTATCGCAATTAAAATGAATGAGCACGTGTAGTTAACTAATCGGAACTGCGATTGACAGCTTGTGACTCGTGTTTATAAACAATCTAATAAAAATAACTATGGCTACTGGTGCTGATGTTCGGGATATTCTGGAACTGAGCGGAGTGGATAACGATGGTCCCATCAGCAAGAAAGACCTGATCAACTCCGATAAGGTTGGAGGCCCTTAAATATCAATATTTTTCTTTTAACTTGATTTCCCTCTTAACTTAGATCTGGGTAAATTAAAACAGATCGAATGAACTTCTGACTATGAGCTAAGCTGATTTATTGAAATGACGTTTGGTATTGTTTATGGTAAAAATATTTTTATCTTAACTGCTGCAGAAAAAATCCAAGAAGGCAACAGAGACCCTCACCTTCAAGAGACCCGAGGGAATGCACAGAGAGGTTTATGCTCTGCTTTATTCTGATAAGAAGTATGTTTTTAATATTTATTTGCATATTTCTACTTCAAAACTGTCTGTTTCCTATTGAAAATTAAGTTAGATGTTAGCCATTTAGCTTGGATTGATTTTTATGTTTTGTTACATATTCACTACTTTCAAAATGTTTGCATTACTAAGTAATTATATTGTGTACATTGTATTCATCATCTTTCAATAAATACCCAAATCCACAAGTAATTTTGCTTACTCGCCGTTTTCTTTCTAGACAATGATTTAATTTGTGTTAAATGTAGGCATGAAGCTTTTGTGTACATCTATGCTTAATCACGTTTAGGTCATGCTTTGTTGTTCCTTTTAGGAACCTTAGTCATTTTAGTTTCTTTTTCTTATTTTATCCACAGGGATGCACCTCCTCTGCTGCCGAGTGATACTACTCAAGGTTACAGGACAGTCAAAGCTAAGCTAGGGTGTAAAAAGGTTCGCCCCTGGAAGTGGATGCCCTTCACAAATCCTGCTCGCAAAGATGGAGCCATATTCCATCATTGGAGACGGGTAGCAGAGGAGGGCAAAGACTATCCTTTTGCTCGTTTTAACAAGGTAAGCCTGACCAGTATCTCTTTCAGTCCTGCAGTACACATACAATTTTTACTACAACCCCTCCTGATTCACAGCTCTTTTCTGTATTCTTACTGCTTTTGGTTTACCTGTATAGACTGTGCAAGTACCTGTGTACTCCGAGCAAGAGTATCAAACACATCTTCATGACGATGGCTGGACAAAAGCAGAAACAGACCATCTCTTTGATCTGTGCAAGCGCTTTGACCTACGTTTTGTTGTTGTCCACGATCGCTATGACTACCAGCAATTCAGGGTAAAACCCCAGTCCTTTACCTCCTGCGCTGGTGTCCACCAATACAATCCTAAAAATAAATTATGTACTTGCATTCGTTTTCTTCCACTGAAAATCTCTAGAAACGCTCAATAGAGGACCTGAAGGAACGATACTATAGTATTTGTGGTAAGCTGACAAAGGTCCGTGCTCCATCTGGAACAGAACCAAAGATCTACATTTTTGATGCCGGCCATGAGAAGCGACGCAAAGAACAACTGGACAAGCTCTTCAATCGAACACCTGAACAAGTTAGTAGCCTTCAAATTAGATTATTGTTGTCATGCAACTGTTTAAAAGTTAAGTAAAGCAAATAATGTAAAAGTCATGCTGAGCAAAAACCTGTTGTTGCCATCATCAGTATGGATATTGTTGGCATCTCTTGACATATTTGTTTCTAGACCTCTAAATGTTAATTTTGCACCGTCTTTACTTTTCCTGCAGGTGGCAGAAGAGGAGTATCTTATTCAGGAGCTGAGAAAGATCGAAAACAGGAAGAGGGAGCGTGAGAAGAAAGCCCAGGATCTGCAGAAACTCATTAAAGCGGCTGATACGACGACAGAGCTGAGGCGTGCAGAAAAGAGGGTTTCCAAAAAGAAACTCCCTCAGAAAAGAGAGACAGAAAAACTGGTGCGTGATGTGTTTAAACACAAGGACCCAAAGTAAAAACATGCTCTTGTTTTAATGTCATTATAAAAAAAAAAAGGGAGAATGAGTTGTATATTGTTATATTAAGACAGTTGTGATTTAAATACTTTCACATTAAGAAACAAAAAACAAAGATTAATTCTAAAACATTTGATATAATCCTCATATGGTTTTAAAGAAATAATAATAAATGTTCATCTTTAATAATTTCTTTTTCAGGCTCTTCCAGAGATGGCCGGCATCAAGTTCCCTGACTTTAAATCGTCAGGCGTTACGCTGCGCAGTCAGAGAGTGAGTCTAAAGTGTTCACATTGTCAACTTTAAACTTTATCTTGGTTCTATAATCCCCATTAAACAATTAAACACCTCTCTAAAACACGAATAGTCAAAATTTCCCCAATCAGTAAAGGTTCCACAGATTTACAGCAACAACTTTTTCACTCAAGTGCAGATTTTAAATCTATATAAACATGAAGTAAGATCAACTGATTTCGTTTGGCGTGGTGCTGACATCAGAAAAGCGTTTATGCAGCAGCTGATGTATGAGAACGACTAGAGTTTGGCTTTAGGCACCCGTCTCTTAATATTACTATGATGATTAAATGTGTTCCTGAAGAGCTAACCAACAAGATGACCTGTATTCATCTTGAAGACTGATGAGGAGCTTTCTCTCTATGGAAAATGCATTAGCACAGCTAAAGAAGTGGTGAGCGCCTGTAGCTAATCAGTCAGATAGAGTTCAGTGGATAAAGACGTTTTGATCTGGCCCACTGAAGTGCATTTCATAGGAATTAAAAGCCTTGAGGTGGAGCTGTTTATCCTAATATTGCCAGTACCTTAAATCACTGTGTGTGTGTGTGTGTGTGTGTGTGTGTGTGTTTGTGTTATTCAGATGAAACTGCCGAGCTCAGTTGGCCAGAAGAAGATCAAGGCCATTGAGCAGATCCTTGTGGAGCAAGGAGTGGGTGAGTATGAATCAACATTGGTCATTTACTAACATTTCAGAGTTTAACATTTTTAACACCCGTCTTCACCAAACATCAGTTCTAGTGTAGAAAACACAAACATGTGGAATGATCAACACTTTAGAAATATTTAAGCATTTTAAACAGAAGATAAAATAGGTTTTGAATTAAATATTACAACAAACTGATGAAAACAAGTGCACACAACCTTCATCTCACTTTTTCACCCTCCCAGTTGTTTAAATTTGTGTTAAATTCAGTGATTTAAGCCATCCTGTTTTCTTTTTTATTTAGATCTCAACCCCATGCCCACAGAGGATATCGTACAGATGTTTAATGAGCTTCGCAGCGACTTGGTACTGCTGTACGAACTCAAACAGGCCCACAGCAATTGTGAATACGAGCAGCAGATGCTGCGACATCGCTACGAGGCTCTGCTGAAAACAGGCAGCGGAGCTGGGTGTGGAGGTACCACGGCAGGAGGACTGGCTAGTGTCCCACCGGGCGGGGATCTCGGTTCCATCAACAGTAATACATCATCCACCCCAGGAGCTGACACCCAGTCCTGGCTCGGTGCTGAGGATATTAAGATGGAGCCTAAGGAGCAGATCATCGATGTAGTTGGAGCTCCTCTCACCCCCAACTCGGTTAGTGTAATGATCCATTTAAAGTCAGTCTTCAGCTACCTTAACCAGGTAGCACGCAGGAATGGCCACACATGGTTTCATTTTCAAGTTTACTAAAAGTATAAAAACAATTAAAAAAAATAAGAAAAATGAATAAAAACAAGAAAACATTAAAGCTGCAAGCAGCGTCGTTCGGCCCTCGCAGCTCCACGCCGCTCCGGCCTGGCCGGCAGCCCGGACCACCAGGGCACGTCCGCGGAACAGTAATGTCGACCACCCCGACACCAGAAACCGCAAACGATCACCTCGTCCGCACCTCACCCTGACTCAGCATCCCCTCTGAGCACACCATTATATTACACATCTCACCACTAGGGCATACTCTATCTTTACGACACTGGTGGTGTGATGACACAGACCACCTGTAATGCTTTTCTGACCTTTTTTTTTTTTTTTTGAAGTTATTGTGGGTTAAACATATCTAGGGGTGCTGGAAAGCTTTCAGATCATGACAAATATGGGCATTTCACCATAAAACAATAGACTTCCTGTAGTCAGGGGGCAGGACTTAGGTGATGTCAGCTGTCCACATTGTCATTGTCTTCAGATGTGGTCAGTGATCACACAGACAACATTTGATATAGATCTGATCATGCACATGGGAGTTATTAAGTCAAGAAATGTAATGGCGAAAGGTCAAAGTTTGAGGTTTAGCCACGCCCACACCTTTCAACTTTTGAAAAATCCGACGGTTGATTTTTTTCCCCTATGTCTTAAGAGTATATAGCAGATGTTTGAAGGCAATTGGTGAAAAAGACGACGAGGCATCGTACTCCAAACAATGTGTGCGAAAACCACTAAATCGAGTACTTGGACCAAAATGGCCGACTTCCTGTACGACTTTGCACTTGGCTCCAAGAGACTTTTTTGTAGGTCCTGAGACACCACATTAGTGTACCAAATTTCGTAATCCTCAGTCAAAGCATGGCTTGGGGCTATTAGTTTAAATGGTCCTAGGGGGCGCTATTTAAGGAAATAGGCCACGCCCACAAACTTCAGCTGTCTATTTCTCTTGAGGGTCGGACTAGGATCACTCCCCAGAAGTTTTGTAGCGATATAACGATAACTGAAGAAATGAGAGGCAAACGTATTTCCATGGCGTGATGGCAATTTTCGCCATGCTCCCAAAGCCCCGCCTTTTTTTGAAACCTACCAGTACTGGATACCAAGTGACCTCACGTTGTCTACTGCTATTTGACAGAGATTCCTGGTGATTGGGTAAAAGGAGTTCAGTAGGGAGCTGTGAAAATAAGAGTGGCGTGGCAACAGGTCAAAGTTTGAGGCTTAGCCACGCCCACACCTTTCAACTTTTGAAAAATCTGACGGTTGAATTTTTTCCCCTATGTCATAAGAGTATATAGCAGAAGTTTGAAGGAGATTGGTGAAAAGGGCGACGGAGCATCACTCTCCAAACAACGTGTGCGAAAACCACTAAATCACGTACTTGGACCAAAATGGCCGACTTCCTGTGCGACTTTGCGCTTGGCTCCAAGAGACTTTTTTGTAGGTCCTGAGACACCACATCAGTGTACCAAATTTCGTAATCCTCAGTCAAAGCATGGCTTGGGCTATTAGTTTAAATGGTCCTAGGGGGCGCTATTTAAGAAAATAGGCCACGCCCACAAATTTCAGCTATCTATTTCTCTTGAGGGTAAGACTAGGGTCACTCCCCTGAAGTTTCGTAGCGATATCACGATAACTGAAGAAATGAGAGGCAAACGTATTTCCATGGCGTGATGGCGATATTCGCCATGCTCCCAAAGCGCCGCCTTTTTTTGAAACCTGCTAGTACTGGAGACCAAGTAACCTCAAGTTGTCTACTGCTATTTGCCAGAGAATCCTGGTGATTGGGTAAAAGGAATCCAATAGGGAACTGTGAAAAAAAGAGTGGCACGGCGACAGGTCAAAGTTTGAGGCTTAGCCACGCCCACACCTTTCAACTTTTGAAAAATCAGATGGTTGAATTTTTTCCCCTATGACTTAAGAGTATATAGCAGAAGTTTGAAGGAGATTGTTGAAAAGGGCGATGGAGCATCACTCTCCAAACAACGTGTGCGAAAACCACTAAATCGCGTACTTGGACCAAAATGGCCGACTTCCTGTGCGACTTTGCACTTGGCTCCAAGAGACTTTTTTGTAGGTCCTGAGACACCACATTAGTGTACCAAATTTCGTAATCCTCAGTCAAAGCATGGCTTGGGGCTGACAGTTTTAATGGACCTAGGGGGCGCTATTTCAGAAAATAGGCCACGCCCACCGGATGTTCACATCAGATCTTTTGGCGGGCCGGACTAGGATCACTCACAAGAAGTTTCGTGACGATATCTTTAGAAATGACGAAATGGGAGGCAAACGTAAGGCCACGGCGGTACGCCTGACTTCGCCGCGCCGCCACAGCCCCGCCCTCTGCCGAAAACTCCCATAAAGTGACGCCAAGCAACCTCCACTTGTCTTGAGTTACCAGCTACAAATTTGTGGTGATTAAGTGAAATGGGGCAATTTGGGACCTTTCACAGTAAAACTTGACCTTTTTGGTCCTGAGTGGGCGGGGCTTGTGTGATGTCATCATCCGACCATTCATTTTACTTTGTGGGTGAATGACGAATGACCACAGAAGGTTTGGTAACTCTATTCCATTCAGTTATGAAGTTATAGCAATTTAAATTTTTTTGGCGAGTAGTCAAACTTTGAGGCTTGGCCCCGCCCCTTCAACATATACGAAAACTCAGAATCCTTGTCTCATTTTGTTCGCCCATCCCTTCTGAGCAATTTTACACCACTTTTGAGACGATCGTGGGATTTCCAATCAGAAACGGACCCTAAAAACTGCAAAAACGGCAAAAAATCGCCATTTCAACCCAAAATGGCCGACTTCCTGTTTGATATTGACCATGCTTGCAAGAGACTTTTCTGTGCGGACTGTTGAGTACTACAAGTGTACCAAATTTCATAACTGTACGATAAACTAAGCTTTATGGGGATGGGTTTTTTTTTCACTTTCTAGGGGGCGCTGTTCAGTCATTTTCTGTGCGATTTTTTTGTGACCTTTAAAATATCAAATTTTTCACCAGGCCTGACATGTTTGCAAAATATTGTGAGTTTTGGGGTATGATAAGGTCCCCAAAAGGCCATTCAAAGCGGGCTAAGAATAATAAATAAAAAAGAATAAACAGAGCAAAAACAAGAGGCCTTCGCAGCGCTTTCGCTGCTCGGGCCTAAAAAAGACAGAAAGTCCTTTTAACACGTCATAGCGTTTTAATCTTATCCGAGTCAGCTAGCGTGACCAGGTCCCGTTTCTATCAGGGACTAATTGTGTTCCAGGGGCAGGTGAACACTAACACACCGAGTGTTTTCTTTTGCAGCGCAAGCGGAGAGAATCGGCTTCCAGCTCATCTTCGGTGAAGAAGGCGAAGAAGCCTTGATGAGAGCTGCAGCCGGCGCACTCTGGAGGACAAATTACTGTGTTACTTATTGTGATGACAGTGGAGTGCCCATGAGCATTATGGCTGGACAGGACTCACACAACCACATTATCGTAGATGCACCACTGACTACACACAGATACACACAACATCTCACCTACTAACGAGACCTCTCCAAACCCTCCCCATCTGGCTGTGACAAAGGCAATGACTGAGTGACATTTCATTCCATTACGGCTCGTCTCCCTGCCTCCACCAACCGGTTGGCCATAGATGAGGCAAGACCAACTGTAAATTGCCAGGCTGGGCTAATCGGGACAGGGTGAAGAAGGCGGGAATGACTGGGTAATTGAAATGAATTGGAATGAAAGAACGGAGTCAGAGAGTGGGAGGACCTGGAGCCGCTGTGCTCATTTGAGCCATCTGATGTTTATTTTGGAGCCTAATAATGCCATAGTGTTTACTGGAAATGTGTTTCGTGTTAGCCTGTAGTACCGAGACCCTCTCGACCTGGAGTGCTTTTTTTTTTTTCTTCCCATTCCTTCCGTTGGACTAGAGAGGCTGATTTCTCCGTGCTCTCCTCAGGTGACCTTGGAGATTATTCAGCCTGTAATTCAATAAACACCAGTGTCTTGTTTTTAACTGACTGGAGCGTGTTTGTGTCGTATCCTGTTTAACATTTCAAATCTGTGGTGGGTCTATTTCTGACGATCTTGACTCAGGGGTAATAGGTGTTGAACACACGTTTGTTCGGGAAATTGTTGGATCCTGACATTCTTACCTTACCTGCCATCCAAGTTAAGTGACAACTAATGACTTCATTAATATGATAATTAAGCACAGCCACTGAAACTTCATTAGGTTCTTCCCCTCATAATATTGCTAATTGCTTGTCAATTAGGGTGTTTAGCCTCCTTAGACGTTCATTTCTATGCAAATTTTGCCTGAAGAGAAGCTCTGATGTGGGCATAGAAATTATAACTGGATATTAGCTTTGTTAGAGCTGCACACTTCAAAATCTCCCAACAAATAAACACTTTAAAGATAACCAAGATGAAATTGGTAAATTTAGGTGAGATGTTTCTTAATTATTTAGTTTAAAGGTGTAGAAAGTTGAAAAACTTTTTTTTCTGATTATAATGGGTCACTTTATGCAGGTGGAACTTGAAAATAGTCTCCTACACCTATCTCCTGCATTAGCTTTAGATAGAAAATAGATGGTGAAACTGGAGGATATGAAAATCGTCACAGATCTCCGTAACACTGTCACTTAACATTCACGGACTCACTCGTTCTAACTCGTGACAGGGTGACTGTTGTTGGTTTAGCATCCAGGAAACAGTAGAGAACATCTTAGCTAGTAAAAGCTAACCATTAGCACCATCTACTCCACCACACAGCAGAATTCCTCCAGGTTTGAGTCATTTGTGGAGATAAAATATCAATGTTGCAGAGCAACTGGAATCAGTGGAAGTTACATTGTTATCCAATTAGAGGTGAGATGTCCAAATATCAGGAAATGGGACTCCAAATCCTGCCGTGTTAAGATCTCTAATGTGGCATTCTGCTAGCTCCTGAAACATTTGCATCTGAGCTTTTTTCCTCCTGCGTATGACTTGCAAGACATTCATTTCCTACCAGAGACCACTGGAAATGAATTGATTAAACCAGTGATCCACACCTTTAAATTCAAGTGTTTTTATTATTTGAAAATGCGTGTGTGCGTGTCTGCTCTGTCTTACCCCAGTGAGTCGTGGCGGATGGCTGCTCATACTGAGCCACGTTGTTAAATAGGAGTTTTCCTCTCCACTATCGCTACATGTTTGCTTAGTATGGGGATTGCTGTAGTCACTGACTCAAGTCAGCAACTCGATGACGTGTCAGTGACTACAAGTCAGTGTAGTGTATGACTACAGATGTTTTTTGAGGTTTAATTACGATCAATAAGATTTGATGATTTCTATGTAAATGTAGAAATATCAAACTGATTGATCTTTGAACGTTTAACCAGAAGATTTAGAATTCTTTGTTTATTAACGGATTGGAAGACGCTTCGTATCAATTCAGACAGAGTCAAGTTTATAAAAAGTAAGAAATTTATTTTCTAAACAATTAAAAACATGACAGCTAGGAACACTTTATGTGATGAATGAATCTAAGTGGATGGAATGTGAGGTTATCAGAACCTTCGTATCTGGAGAAACTGAGTTCTGAGTGAAAGTGAATTTAGTCAGCTATAAACTATAGTGATTGTTTATGAAACCACATTAGACGCAATCTGTCGAGTCTACCTGCGTACCCTTCGTTGGAGACTCTCTTTTGGATCCGAGATGTCGGGGAGTCCGTGGACCCCACGGTACCGAAGTCCGTAGAGAAACCCGCAGTACGACCAGGTTAGTCCAGAGTTGTCTCCAGGTCACGACAAACAGGTGGACTTGTTTTGCATCTATGGAGTAACTCTTAAGGAGTTGAAGCTGATTCAGCTTTATTCAGAAGGAACCGTTTGTGATCAGCTGTAGCGTGCATCAGGTTTTGACAGCTTGTCAAAAGATGCGCTGGGTTAAAAAGGTTTTGCTTCGGATGGCCGGTCCGAAGCTTTCTCAAAAACTGGCTCACTCAAGAAGTGAAATCTGTTTTAACAACGGCCGTATTTTGATTACATTGTCAACCAGAATTTGACATGTAAAGGGGTTTTACCAAACAAACCCCAGAACATCAGAAGAGCTCTGATTTGTGTATCAGGAAATCTCTATGTGCAGTGACGTTTAACTTTAACTTGCGTCATGGAGATATGGTGAGAGTGTGTGAGCTTGTCAGTAGATAGTGATTCACTTGTCAAATCAACTTACCAATCATAACATAATATTCATTTCAACTTCAGTAATTTAAGCACAGATTAATCACAACATTGTTATTATTCTTCAGCCATTATTATTCATTCATTATATGATTATTTTAACACTCCATTATTTATAACGGTTCATTATTATAAAAGGTCCTTCTTCTTGTTCTGTGAAGCAAAGCAGTCTGAAATTAGCGGAAAGCTTGAGAGGGACCTTGGCCAAGCAACAGTATCTCTCTTGCAGATTAAAAGCACCAGTTAAGACTCATGTCTCCAAATGGCCAGGTACTGAAGAGGTCATCAGACTGTAGTTGGGAAACTGACCATTTCTGGAGGTTACATCAGCGACTCAATGCAATCTGTTGGGTTTGTTTTATAAGAAACTTGTAACTATTTGGCATAATGAACTGGATTGTTTTACTTTGTGAAGTGCATTCAGACAAACTTTTGTTTTGAATTAGCGCTATGTAAGTGAAATGAATTGAAAATCAAACTTTTATTTATTTGCAGATTGTTTTGAGAAAGAGGTCTTGCTTTTGTTTTTTAACAGTTTCAGTAACATAACTTTGTGAGTAGTTTGAGTGCTTTCCCATTTTATTTTTCTTCATTTATGGGTGATTCTTTGGTAATCTTACATCTGATTGCAGCAAAGTTTGGGATCACAAACCTTCAGCTGGTGTCTCCTGGGGTAGTTTGTTGTGATTGTTTTGAATGTTTGGGCTCATGGCTATGTGGAATTAACCTTCAATCGGTCGTATTACCTGATCATTATAAAGGTAAACACGAGCCCCAATAAACCAGATGTTAAGATAACATGTTTATTAAGATGTTTAGATCTTTTTTCATTCTAAACCCTCCCAGAACAAAAATAATTTGCTATATTTTTGCTATTTAGAGGCCAGCAAAAAATTTTTATTGAACTTTAGGTTTTTGCGTTTTGGAGAAAAAAAGCTTCAAATATACAGTTTCTGCTGAAGAAAATTAACAAAATAAGAGAAAACACACATCCTCTAGTGTATTCTTCATCTTAAGAAACATTTCCTAACTTCCATAGATGAAGGCCTCAGCACCACTGAACCCTGTAAAAACCAATCACTGCAATCAGTCAGATTTTTATTTACATTCCTGATAAGTGCTGCTATGGTTGCAGCAGGGAGCCCAGGAACACATTGCTGGCCCTTTGATGGAGACAGAGAGAGAAAGAATGAGAGAAGCCAAGTAAACATGGGTAAAATTGATTCTCTGTGTCTATATTTCATGTTGAAAATTGGCTCATAAATCCAGAGGTTTGATCTATGGAACCGGTCGTTGCCTGAAAAAACCTCCGTAAATGTGTAATTTCTCCCTTGACAGAACACAGCCGAAAGGCTATCTTTCTTTTGCCTCCTCCTCCTCCTCCCCTTTCCCTACCCTTCTTCTCTGTCTTTCATTCTCTCTTTTCCTCCCTAGCATCTCGATGTTGGATTAATCCCCCCCCCCCCTCCTCCTTTCATGCTCCTCTGATATCTTCTTTTCATCACTGCTCATCCATTTATCAAAGCCGGGGCCTCTCTCTACTGTACCCCTCAGCTTCTAAAGCCACCTTAAGTTATATGGCAGACATCCTATAAGACAGACATCAAGACTGTGGAGGTTATTAATAAATACTAGTCCTAATAGAAAAAAAGGCTGGCAGGGGGGTATCATCAGCCAAGTGTGAATGATAAAGACCCCCCCCCCCCCCAGTAGCTCCGATGTAGCTCCTCCTGCCATGAACTCCATCCAGGCTACAGTGTACGTTCTGCTGTGCTGATGTGAAAAGCATGAGGCAGAACCGCACAGGAGAGTGTCTTATAATGTCGCTGAGATGGGATCTCTTTATCAAGGCCAGGCTGAGGCTTTAATCACGGCCTAAGAGGCGCGCTAGCTTTTTATCATAATTGAACTGTAGCAAGGCTAATCGCAGGCATACGTCACTGTCGAAGGGGGGTCGCTCTGCTGATCCGGCTGGGAAACTGGCGTTGGTGATTGAAAACACAGTTAAGAGAAAAGATGTGCGGTGAAGGACATAAAGTGGGAAGAGGCAGGTAATAGTACAGATGAAATAACGCGGCTGAAATACATCATGCCTTGAGGTAACCGCTGATGTGTCAATGATTAGACTGTTGATGGCTCCTCTACATGGCAAAGTGCTTTATACCCTGTATGTCACATGCAATCGCTGATTACTAGAAGGTAAAAAGGCAGCAATTGTACATTAGCATGTGAGAATTTCCTCCAGCATTCTAGCAGTTACCATGTGCGGTAAAACTGTCCAGAACAGACTCTGGCCCTCGTGACCCTCTCTCATCTTCACGTCTGTTTGACTTTCACCTCCTCGTGTATTTAGGTCACCTTGAGGGAGAAACTTTTAATCATCGTTCCACATCAGATCCACCTGTGCCCTCTGGGACACCGAGCTACAACAGGGAAGGGGGGGAAATTAAGTACCCACAGGGCTGGACAGTCATTTCCACAGATTTTTTATTTTTTTGTGCTAGTTTGGGGGGAGGCCTGCTGCAACACAAACCCCATCACTAGAGCTGAGCAGTGCTTACAGCTAGGCATTAACCCATCTATCCACTCTCCACATTTAAGCCCGCGGTGGCAACAGAGGAGTAGAGTAGAGAGGCGAGTGTGACTCTATCTAGACTTACTTTTCCCGCAGAACTGAGTTCTGCTTTGGAACGTCTGCAGGCAGATGCTGCTGCCTCTCATAATGCCCTGTTAAATCAGGGTGGACAATGTTAGATAAGTGATTTGATAAATTCAATGGTTAATGTAGT